ATCTTAATTAATGTAAATTAAAATTTCATCTTTATTAATTATTATATTTGATAAAAAATTTGAATTTTAAAAACAAAATGTTGTAACAAAAAAAAAATATATGTACTATATTTAATATTTTTCAAAAGTTAGTGGGCAGCTTGTCTACACTAACACCCCTCCGCTAATTAATGAAATGTTTGTCACAACAGACCATTTTAAAACAAAATTGATAGTTTATAGATCATTTTAACATAAAATATTGTTTATAAACTAAATTAAAATAAACTACATAATTAATAGATTATTTATTAAATTTAGCCATTTAATCAGCAATGATGACAACTGCTTATAATCTGGATGGTAGAGGCAATCCAATTAAGGATGTTTCTCATGGTGGCCCTGCGACACCTCTTGCAATTGGTTCAAGCCATATTGATATTAAGAAAGCTTCTGATCTAGGATTGCTATATGACATCCACCCTCATTAGTATTTACACTACTTGTGACATTTAACAACTTTGGTGATCGATATTCATTGCTGAAAGTGACATTAAACAACTTTGGTGATAATTAAAATGAATGTATTCAACAAAAGTTGTGAAAAGAGTACTTTACAATGATTTCAAACATTACAAAAAGAAATAATACAAAATAGTAGTAAGAAAGATGTTTATTAAACTTATATTAATTAAAAAGATAATTAAAGAGATAACACAAAACACAAATTACCTATTACAAGAAACTTTAATTAAAAATTCTAATCCATGCATAGCATCTTCTACCTTCACTAAGAATTCTAGTCCATCATCATAATGAGTAATAACTTCAACACTCAAGTGTCTTCCACTAGCTGATTTATTCTTGTACACCAGAATAGGTGCCAAGGCAACATCTTTGAAATGAATAGATCCCTTGAAAAAATTCTCATATGGATTAGCACAGCCTGAAACAATTTGAAGAAACTCATTTTAGAATCCAAGATCAGGGAATCATCCAACTTACATAATTAAACAAAATCTCAATGCCCAAAATAGAGTAACATAACAATAACACCATCATCTTCTACTAATTCTCCTGTTAGATAAGATAACATACACTTAATTGACCAAAAACTTCAAATACATGAGGTGCATGCGAAGAAAGAAGGTGCAGATAAACCTTGAACATGTGAATCAAAAGGAAGAGATGGCTAAAGCTATATTGAGTACGTAGATTACTTGAGGAAGAGATGGCTAGTTATATTTTGGGTTCTACTCTTCTCTTACTCTCCTCCAAGTCCTCTCTAAACCCTCCCTTTTCACCACCAAAAATCTAACAACCCCTTCTGTGATGGCCAAAAAAGAATCGGTCCAGCACCTGTGTCAACTCTGTTACTATTAGGAGTAACACGATGCAGACGGTGCTCCACCATCTGTCAAAGTCGTACATTTTTTTTGGGTACACCATCAAAGTCATACATTGCCCTACAAAAAACTCAGCTTTATTGGCACCCAATAATATTCCAACTACTTATTGGGACCCACTGATAATTCATTTATCCCCCGGACCCACGCTCGCCCCCTGTAAAAGGTGGCCACCAAGCAATGAACTCTTCACCCCTTCCCTCCTTCTGGCACCTTAAAAACATGGAAGCTCAAATAGGTAATTCGTATTTCCTTCTACACATCAATATACATATTACTCCAGTATTTTGTTTTGTTTTGTTTTTTCTTTTTTTTTTTTTTTTTTTTTTGGCCCAACACCAACTAATCCAAGTTATGTCATGGTAGACACGGCGAATTTTGCCGAGAAATTAACACGGTACTTTT